TACAAAAGTTAGCACAAGCAAGCTCTGAGTAGATAGCAGTGGCAGAGTGCCTGTGACCTGTCCAGTGGCACCTCTGTGGAGAGATTGCTCTGCTTCTGGCTGCAGCTGTCTCTGAGCTCTGCTGCTCCAAAGACAGATTGTGCTGCTGGACATCCAAGTGGGAGAGCAGGCAGAAACCATTACTTTTGCAGAGGCAGTCATGCTTCTCCAAGAGACAGGAGGGCACAGTGGAGGGATCTCTTTGGCAGATGTTGGAAGCAGTCATATGCAGGGCTGGTGACTCTCCTCCTCTTTTAATTTAAAATGCCAGTGAATGCGTGTCTCGTTGCACACCTGAAAATTCATCCACAGGACACAAACTCCTTGGTAACCAAGCTTCTTTCTTCCACTCATACAAATAGACTTTGACAGCTGTGAGCAAACATCTGGACGAAGCAAAATAAGTGGGTAAAGCTCTGGTGGAATGATGCAATATTTTAAGGAAACAACAGATATTTGTATTCTATCTCCCTGCACCTACACCTGTGGTCACTGGAAAAATGACATTTCCCAGCAATGTCTTTTTCAGTGTCTTTACAGCCTATATATGTAGTTAGATTATATGAAAAAAAAGCAAAACTTTGCTCTGAGTTACACCAGGGTGTCTTGTACATTTCTAATCCCCAACTGAAATGCCTTTCTATGACAGCATGCACCCTTGTTTAATCTGTACAGCAGAATGACAGATGGGAAGGATGCCCGTGTGATGGCTCTGTGTAAACACTCTCTGGTTGTAGTGTGAATGTGGTCTGTAGGAGAAGTCGTGTTTGGTTTAGCTAGAATTTAATGTGCGTCTCAACGAAAAATTGCCGGAAGACCTAAAGCAGTCCCTTCTGCTTCAGAACATATGCACGGCTTCATTAAAGTGCCTTTTCAAAAGCAGCAAATAAAAAGCTTGCAAATTTGAGTGGCATAACTTTAATCATCCCAGATGTTGGGTTTCATAGTCAGTTGCTGTTTGGGTTAGATAAAAGCACCTTTTGGTCAGAGAATGCTATGTTTCCTGCAGCAGGGAAAAATTTTTCTTGGTGTAATGAGAATAGCTTAGTCTACTTGGAATTGAAAAAGAAAAAATTCATTTGGGGTATTAAATGTTGGAGAACAAAGTTTTCTGCTTTGCAGGGTGTTCCTCTTACAGTTATAGTTAGTGGAAAAGCTTGCCACCAGCAGTGTTTGGAGCTCTGCAAATCCTGTTGGCTCAGTATTGACTCCTAATTAATGACCCACATTCTCACAGATGCACTGAAGCCTTCTGTGATGTGGCTGTACCAGTGGAAAACAATAGAGTCATTTATTTCCAGCTGTATCTGTCCCATGAATAAAGGGCATGAAGTAGTGCCAGAGTGTGGTTTCTGTTGGCTGCAGCACAGAAATCTGGCAGCTTTTGTAGCCAAGGGAGTGTAATTTATAAAATTCAGAGATTTGATGACGACTGGTCAAGCTGTCTGCAAATGCAATATGTTGGACTTTTCTTGATCATGCTTTGTGTATGTAAAGCCCAGTTCTGGCTGGAAGAGCTGCATAGTTCAAAAAAACAGTTCAAGGCCCAGGGTGAAAACCCCAAGAATGGGATGGAATACAGCCTTTACTCTGACCCACACTAATTAATCTCTTTCAATGAAGCCAGCATATACCTATGTTTCTTTGAGGAAGCCACTCAAGCTGTATTGGTGTCATCAGTGTGATGGTGGCTGTGTTTTCCTTTTACCATGGGCTAAAAATGCTCAGTAGTACATCCATGACCAAAGCTGTGATGCTGTGACTGTGAGCTGCTTCTGTTTAGCTGTACTTGCACTAATGTGCACTAGGCACCTCCTAGATTGGGTAAGTCATTAATGTGCACCCTGAGGACGGTGTCCTCTGAGGCAATGTCTGTAATTCATGTGTTGGTGTAACCTAATATGTTTTAAAACTCTGTTACGTTGGGGTTTACATCTAGAACTGAACTGGGATTTTTTTCTCTTTATATAGAAAGTGTCAGTGATTGTTTTAATATGTTTTGAAGTTATCTAAATGCCAGAAAGATTAAATATTTTACAGTACTCAGGCTCATTGCACGCAGGTTCTTTAGGCAAGCTTGGGCTGACCATGTGCTGACTGCAGGCTGTTTTGCTGTTCCAGACATTCACCAGCACCTATGCAACTGGTTTTGACTGTTCCAGTGAAAACTGGGCAATATGTGTGATTTTGTTGATCAGTTGAATAATCAAACCTCACTTCCTTGGGCCAAGCTGTATGAGGAGAAGCTGGCATAGTCCTGTTGATTTTAGCTCTGACAAGTGCTCTTCTCTGACTCTGACATAATGGCTGGAAGTAAGAATTGTGTCTGCTTGTGGAAGGGCAGGATAACACATACTTGTGTGTGTGCTTGTGAGTGTGCATTCACGTGCACACACACATGCTTATATTCACAGACCTTTTCTAGAGGCTGGGAGACTTGCAGTTGTTCAGCCCAGAGCCTGTAACAGAGGGTTTGCCAGCTCTGGCATATGACCATGGATAGAATTGTTTGTGCATTGTCCTGGCTTTGTTGTAAGTGGCAGAGTGATCCCATTGTTTGAGTGGGATCTTGGTCATGTGGAATTCTGAGTGAATGAAGCATGGTTTGGAGCATTTAGTTATTACTTTTTTGCTCCCTATGTCTGTTCAATGTTTTATGAATGTTTAGCAGTCTTTGCACAGCCTCATTAAGTGCCTTATTGGGCTGCCATGGCCAGGAGTGCTGTTAGCAGTTCCAGAAGGAAGTGTGGCCGTGTATCCTGTACCTGCCAAAGAGCTGCTGGACTTGGGATGAGAAAGGCAACCAAATCCTAGAATGCTCATCAAAACCACAAATTAAATTCTGCAGGCTTCTGTCACAGATCATCAGTATCAGGAACTTACACGTGCTCTGTGCACCTTTTCAAACACTGCCAGAAATGGACCTCTGCAGCTGTTGCCTGCAGCTGTTTATGGTTGAGCTGCGATTTCATAGTTCTGTACATGCTGGAGAAACCAAGATGGGTTCTTGACTCTAGGCAGACTCTACAGCCAGAGGGAAGGACACTTTACACTATGCCACAGTGTAAATAAGCCCACTAACCCAAACATGGAAAAGTAATTTTGTTGCTGACAGTTGATTTGTGATTTCTCTTGCCACAAGGATTAGGTGCTGCTTGGAGCTGACTTGTAGCTGACAACTACAGAAAACTCCTGTAGTTGGAGCTTGCTGGGTTTTGTTGGGGTAACTCCATGTTCCCATAGTCCTCACCTTCTGGTCTTTGGGAGAGGGGAATGAACTGTCCAGCTTTTCCCTATTCTTTCGCTTTCTTTCCTTTCCCTCATCCCCTGACACAGATTTTCAAAGAGAAATAACGGTTTTCTGCTTTTTCTGTTAAAGTTATTCTTCGTTTCTGGCTTGATGTTGTCCTGAAGGACATCAGTTGTGATGATGCAGAGTGATGCAGAGTCCCCAGGCAGTGCAAAGGAGAGCCACTTACTGCAAACCCCAGGCCTTTTTAAGCAGCTATCCAGTTTTCAGTTTGCATAGTTTTGAGGCACAAGAAGCCCAAGTCACCCAACCAGCGTTCACCACAGTGTGGCCATGCAGCAGTCACACAGCAGGTCTCACATCTCTCACGTCTCTCTACCCCTATTCCAGCTGAGTCACTCTCCCAGAGCTCCCTTCTACTCAGCCTAAGTAGGAGGCCTGAGCCATGATTTCACAAGGTAACAAGGCCCTTATTTTATGAGGCTACCTATATGCAACAATTGATGAAAGCAAAATCCTGCCAGTGAAACACTGATGGAGCATGATGTTCAGTATGTACTAGTACTTCTCAAGGGGGAAGAACCTGAAATTTAGAAATTATGGGGGAATTGAGTATGCATATGATAATTCAGTGCTGGTTGGGGGGATATAAAGCTGACAGTACCAATAGGCCTAATAGCTTTGCATTTGTAGTATTGGGCTACAGAAGAAAAACCATCAGGCAACCTGCAACAAATGCTTGTCAAAAGGTTCTTCTGAGGTTTACTCAGCGTTTGAATCATGCACACAGTGGATTAAGTGTTGAGATCACACTGTGTCCATGCATTTTCTGGGTCAATACCCTGCCCTTTGGCAGCTCCTTTGAGATCATAGTGATTTCTGATATGAGGATTCAATTGCAGCAATGTCACAAAAAATACCAAATTCCCAAACCTGTGCTGGTAACAGTCTTGTGCTGAGCATTTCGTATAACCAGATATCTGCTCAGACCCATGGAGTCATTCATGCATGAGTGGGAATTTCTGTACTGGGAGGCATGTGGTCCTCCTAGTTCTGTGGCATCATTTCCCTCTCCTGTCTCAGCTGATGGATGTCAAAATCATGGGTTATATGTGGGACAATAGGAAGGTAAAAAGGAGTAAATGTTTTCCTGTTCTGCATCAAGCAGAGATGAGAATGCCATCTTGGAGCTTCCTGGTGAAGAGGCACAGGAATAAAAACTGAGGACATTTTGTTTGCAGGACCCCAGTGAAGCAGTAGAGGGGGTTGAGAAGTTTCAGGACCTTCAAACTCTAAGCTTCTAGATACAGTGGGCTTTCCCTTTATGTCCACGTGACATCCAGGAAAACTTGTGTGCAGGTGCTCCCGTGGAAAAAGGTTTCAGTCTCCAAACTGATAATTGCCATCACACACATTTTGTGACACGTGTATGTCTTCTCTCTACTTGTGCAACTTTTTATCAGGATGGTTAGAGGCTGAGATAAGGACTTCTAAGTCTCCATAAAAGTAAGTAACTCAGGCACGTAAACTGTTGTCGAGAGCATGCACATGGTGCTGTCTCTCCCTGCATCCTTATGTTTTGTATGAGAGTCCAGCTCTTGAGAAAGCAAGAGCTCCTCAGAGAGCTGAATGTCACACTCGGCTCAGAGAATTCACCCTGAAATGGATAATTTTTTCACATGATGAATAGTGAAGGTTTGTTACATGGAGAGAGGACTATCAATTCTACTCCATTGAGAAATCCATATAAATTAGATGTTTTTTAAATCCCCCACCATCTTAAAATGCCAAATAGATACTTTTCCACTAAGCTCATAGTAGTAGTTGACTTGGAAGCATAGGATCATCTCTTAAAATGTGTTATGTACCAGCAAGGACTGAAATATCTTGCCTGGAAAAAAACAGATCTAGCTTTTAGAGCAGGACTCTTCTGTAGGTTGTGCTGATTATTGCTTTGTGCTGCTTGACTGTGATTTTTGGCACACAGTGTCACATACCAAATTCCCAAAATAAAATGCTACATGATATTCTAAGAGTTCTTAGGAAGGTTTAAAAAGGGATTTGTCTGCTGAGTGGGTACCTCTTCTGGTGAAGCCAAATGATGCAGCAGCAATGGTTTAAAAGGAGAAAAACTTTAGTCAGCAGATAATTAGTCTTTTTAAATAAGAGCAAGGAGAAAAAAATAAAACCTTCCATCAGACTTGTGTTTGTAGAAGTTGTCAGCAACTCTGCTTTGATTGGAGAGGGTGTGCAGCTCTTGGAATAGTTAAAACATCTGTTCAGAGACGTTGTGAAATGCTCGTGTTCGGAACCCCTGATAAGGGGAACTGCTGAGCGCTTGGCTCCCAGAGGCTCCACAGGCAGCAAAGGCTGCACAAGCTGTGGCCACCGCTTGCCTCTCCTCCTCCTGGGCAGCACAAAACACAGGAGACAGCTACTATTCTACATGTGATTCTGCTTCGAGAGGGAGAGAGCAGGAAGTGCCTAGGAAATGGTTCATGACAGAAACCTGGAGTTTTAAATAGGAGAGAGGAGGAGAGCACATGGGCACAGTTTGTGAACTGCTGAAACACTGACACAAGAGCAGCAGGGGAAAACCAGACTTCTGTGAGAGCAAGCACATCCCGAGCTATCCTGATGGAAGGAGAGACAGTTCCCGAGGCCAGGGGAGCAGCCAGCAAAGCCACTCGGATCGCCCTCGGTGTCTTTGTCAGTGGCACTGTTGTGCTTGGCACCGCTCTTTTCTTGGGTAAGTGAGAGCATTGACACCAACCTGAGCACAGCCCGCCCCAGCCTGGCTGCTGGGTGATGGTGCTTGTGCCTCACCATGTCTTTTGGTGAAAATCTGAATCTCTTTTCCTTTCCCCCACTTTTCATATTTATCCTGAAAGGGATATGTGTGTCAGTAAAGAAGTTCTTGTTTTGGGAATCCTAGAGCTGGGAGATGCAATGTGAACTCGTGTAACGTTCTGAATGCTGAATTTAAATTTGGATGCTCAGTTGAATGTGGTCTGACCAGAATTGGGTTCTTTCACAGGACGGAGAGAAACAGGTGAGATTGTGCTGGGTACAGATTCCCTGGCTGTGACTGGTGTGGAGTAGTATTCTCCATTTCCTGAAAATGAATCTGTGTAGCACACACGTTTTGTGGAATCTTTTGGGTTTTCTTTCATTTGGTTTTCATTTAGGGCTTGACTAAAATTCCTGTAGAAAACCTCGATAGTGCATATGCGTGCACATTTTTTAGATCTTTCTGTTCTTCTATGATGAATTGCAAAGTTGCCTTTACAAAAGTAATAAAGAGTGTATCTAGGATGAAATTGAAATATTTTCGTCAGATATATAAGGTGTAACTAGATGCAACAGAGAAGTAATTAGTTTTTCCTCTCCCAGATTTGGAATTATCTATAGATTGGTTTTGTTAGAAGAACAGTTGAAAGCATATGCCTACACTTCTGACATTATGTGTAGAAATATACATATGCCCAGAAACTCCAAACACAGAGGAAGCTGTGTTGTGTCCTGTAAGAACTTTGCAGAGTTGGATCCTCTTTTAGAACAACTCAGCCCAACTTTTTGTTTCTTTAAACCAACACAGCTTTCCCTAGATAGGTGGAAACCTTGCCTCTAAGCATGTCTTTTGCTTTTCTCCAGTCCTTTATGATCTTGTTTGAAAGGTTTTCTTTGTTTATAGTCACAACATAGAAAACAATGTCAGGTTTTCTACAGAATATTTAAAGCACCAATCTCACTCTTGGTTAGAGTTTTCCTGCTCTAGAGCAATTTCTGCAACGTTTGCAGGCAAATAACTTCTGTATTAGTGATCTCATTCAAGTCAACAAAACTTTTTATAAGCATGAGCGAGTTTGAATCTTCAAATTTCTAGATTAAAAAAAAAACTTTTTCACTTAAAGAGTGCAGTATAAACACCAGGGAGTAATAATGGAGAGACCTTATTTCTTTTTGCCTGCACTAGATTTTTTTGTTTATTGCTTCAAACAAAAGCAATAGACATTTACCACCACAACTTCTCAGAGATATAACTGCTTTATCCATAGTCCAGGTGTGAAAATTCAAGTAAATATATTAATTCTTGCAGATAGTTTTACAAGTGTGACTGTGGTGTATTCTGTAGGCAAGGATTCAGTGTCAAAATTTTCACTGGCATAACTGCTAAGAAAATAGAAATACTGGCCTTGGGTCAACCAAAATGCTTTTAGGATTTGTTTGGAAATTGTCTGAAATTCGCAACCTAAAGAACCAAGGAAAAAAAGTTAAATTGTTTTGGTTTAACATTTTTTTCAATTAGATGTTTCCATGCTTCACTGTGACATGGTTTTGTTTGTAAGTTTGGGCTTAATATTTTTAGTTTTATTTAACTGTGGAAATAGACATTTTTTCTGTCCATATGAAATATTTCAGGCACCTCGAGATGTTTTTTTTTCCTTCAGTTTTCATTTAGTCTGCAAAACTTGCTGTTTCTGGTACACCTGAAATGAATTTTCCAGCCTGAGGAGTGAAATGTAACTTTCTCCTGCTTTCTTCTCATAGTTCCTACAAGTCTAAGGAGGATGTGGGAGGATCAGGTATTGTTATTTACTGTGGGGAGCCGCCAGGGCAGGGGCTCAGCGTTGCTGCCTGTGACATTCTGGAGGAGCGAGTGGGGGCTGTGACAGCCCAGGAGCCACCTCCTCCTTGGAGCCCGCAGATTGCTCCCAGCTCCCTTGGATGAGAAGTCAGGCAGCTTTCAATCTCCATTTGAGAGCCTCTCCTCCTGACTGGGTAGTCCTTTGGGCTTCTCATATCACAGGAAAGTTTGCATTATTTGCACACATTTTTGTATGCCTTTCCCCTTTTAGATTTATTTTTTAAACTCAGTTGTGGTGTGTATTTGATTAAGAATCTGGAAACAGGCTTATCAAGGAAGAAGCTGAGGGTTATAACCACGACTCTAAGTAATAATATCATGATTAGTTATCTTAACAATAAAAAGGCAAGAGAACAAAACTCTGCAAAGTTTTTTTCTGTCAAAATTAGCTGTTACTTAAAATGGAAATGTTGCTGCCAAAAATTTGTTCTAATGATAAAATTGTAAGTTTCCCAGTTGAAATGGTATTTTGCTTTTGTTTGTAAGTATCAAAAACACAAGGGCTGCTTCAGATTAAAAATTAAATGGTGTCTGGGCTTTTCCCTCCTTTCTCTGCTTTTTAAGAAAAACGTCTAGCAAACACTCAAGACCTTGACAGATTCTAAAGGGCTAAATTCTAATTAGGGAAAAAGGTGAGTTGGGAGGAGTGCAACACTTAATTAAAAGGGACATTATCTATTATTTGTAGTTCATCTTTGTAGCGACTCAAAATCATGTTCTGGAGATCTCCACTTCTCTATCTTCTCCTGCTCTTCAATATTCCAATTACAACCTTTGTATGCCTCAAAATCGTGTGTATTTCTTGGATAATTTACAAGGTATTTGAGGTGTTGTGTTTCACTAAACCAATGCAAGCTTTGGAAAAGCTGTCCAGAAATAGTTTTACGTTCCTATTTTCTGAGAAACTTGGATTGAAATCCAGCTATTTCTGTCATTAATTGCCATTAAAACTGTGAGACTGGAATAGATGAAACAGCTTTATATTCAATTGTAGCTTTAAGACTTTTTGTAAAAAACCTTTCCTGGTCTGAAATGATATTTCACATTTTCTTATCACTTTTGAACAATATATAACTACAGCAGAAATTGCTTTATAACTATCAGCACTGTTAAAGCTATGGTACCATAATATATTCCATTGTTGGGTTTTTTTGTTCAGTGTTATTTGCTTTTTTTATTTTTGCCATGGACTGTTATTAAGATAATGGATATAATGAGACATTTCTTTATGCCTACTGAGCACATCTAGTGAGTACTATTTCACCTATCCCTTGGGATTCTCCCTTCTTAATCCCAAGTATCAATTATCTGCATATTTGCTGCCTGAGAGCACTGTCTGAAATTAGCAATTCCTGTGCTTAAATTTCAGTGGCAGTTGTAATACACGTTTTTAAAAGATGAGCAAAATTAACTGACAATTTCATAGTACTTCTCAGCAAGGCTTTTGGAAGCAAATGCAATTACAATACTTTTGGGAGACAGCTCAGGCAGAAACTGGGTTGTGCCTTATAAAGCACAGCTGTCCTTGTGCCCATTGCAATCTGCTCTGTTCCAGGCTGGAATCAGGAGACCCTGGGAATGTGCTGGTGGTGCTGGGCAGTGCAGTGAGCCCTGCAGCTCACCCGCCTGCAGAGGGTGGTGAGGATGCTCCGTGCTGCATTTCTAACCATGCAAGGGACAGCCTGGTCTAGCAGAAGGTCCCTGTCCATGGCAGAGCATTGGAATTAGAGGATCTTTAAGGTCCCTTCTAACCCAAGCCTTCTCTTCTCCTGTGTTTCCAGGCTCTGGAGGATGATAATGATGCTGAATTGCTTGTTTCATGGAGGTGCTCACTGTCAGTGAGTAGGGCTGAAGTGATGCTTCTCCAGGCACTGTGCAGAGACAGCTCTTGCTCTGTACAGCCTGTGAGCAAAGAGGGGGAAGGAGAAAGCAGGACTAGGAGGGGAAAATTATTTGTACATAACATACATTCTAAATATTTACTTAATATACATTCTAAGTGCTCTAAATCAATGCAGTCAGAGAGGCACTGGGACCAGAGGCTGCATTGATATTGGAATGATTGAGTACACAACATTTGGCCGCAGTTGTCAAAATTCATTGCAAATGATCTCATTATGGTTTTCCATTTTGCAGTTAGCCAAGGTCTTATAAAGTTTCACCCGAAGCAGCAGTACTGTTTGACTGCAGAATGCATTGAAGCTGGTAAGCAGAAATTTTATTCTCTCACTTATATAATGATTATATTATGCTGGTATGATATTTATGCCATTTAATTTTTTCCCATTATACATTTTGCTCAGAAAGCTTAATTAATGAGGGGGAAAAAAGGATGACCTCAAACTTTTAAAAAAGTCACTGCTCAAGTTGCTTTAGTTTTGTTTATTTGTACAATTAAAACTCATGTTCTAATTTGGTCTAATACTAGCCTAACCATACAGGTTATTATTATTTTCTTTTAATAGGAAACAAGATGTTGAGTGACTAGACCTTCAGGTGTATTTTGTTGCTTTCTTTCCGGTTACCAGAAAACTAGCAAGTGAATTGTTAAGCACAGAGATGCTTTTGTACCAGATCTGGCACACATTTTTATATGATTTTATATTAAAATAGGGTAGATTCAGACGAGTTATAAGGAAGAAAATTTTTATGGTGAGGGTGGTGGAATAGTGGCACAGGTCACAGAGAAGTTGTGGATGCCCCATTCTGGAGGTGTTCAAGGTTAGGTTGGATGGGCCTCTGAGCAACTTGGTCTCGTTGATGATGTCCCTGCTTATTGCAGAAAGCTGGACTGGGGGACCTTTAAGGGTCCCTTCCAACCCAAACTGTTCTATGATTTTATGATTAGGTACAGATAAGCTCTTGAGTCTTGGGCTTGTCAGACTGATCACCTCTTTTTCCACTGACAATAGCAACTGGTAAGGAAGCAGTCACAAAATGGAGCTGAAAATACAGTTTTCTTTTCCAATGTATGGTAGATCAGAATTTGATTTGTTTTCTTGTGCAGTATTCAACTGCACAAGAGGTAAACACTGCATAGTTACTGAAATGCTAATCACAATCTACTTAATATGTATCACCACTAAATTCTTCAGGCAATTAATTCTATCATGGCAACAATGGAGAGCCTGTCTTCAGGTGTCTGGCTCCAGCAGCTCATTTTCATGTAGTGCTAAGTTCTGTTGTCCTTGCTGTATGACACTCAAGAAGATTCATTGCAGATATTTTGTCTTGTTTGTTTGTTTGTTTCTCATTAATCATAATTTCTGGACTGTAGCCTTCTGTAATTCTCTATTTAGGAAAAAGTGTTCTACAAAATCTATGTGGTGCCTTTTTTACAGCTGCTGGCATCCTGAGCAAGATAAATCAGTCTGTAGATCCATGTGAGAACTTCTATCGATTTGCATGTGATGGCTGGATACATAATAACCCTATTCCTGAAGATATGTCCAACTACGGTGTTTATCCCTGGCTGCGACACAATGTGGACCTCAAATTAAAGGGTAAATAGATAATTTCTAAAAGTATTTGGTTGGCTTGTCTCTGTAGCTTGTTAATTGGCTGGGTTTGAGATGACCAAAAATCCCCACAGTTCTCCTCACCGGGTAACATCCAACAGCCTGACCTGATGTTCTCTTTTAAGTATCTTTTTCTTTTTTAAAATTGAAAATCACATTGAGAGATACTGAATTTAACGTAAACAGAATTTAGGAGGAAGAATAGAACTGCTGGGAATACTGGAAATTGTACCAGTTAAGAATGGAGGGATGAAATGTTACTACTTATGCCAAAAGGAAAAGACAAGGAGATTTAACTCTTTCCCCTTGCAGATTGTTAGACCAGACTGCAGGAGCTCAGCACACACAAGTAAGAATGTCCCAAAATCAATCATCAGCGCAGGCCAGCAGGCTGTCTGTAGCAGTGGCCAACAGCAGGGAAGAATATAATAAGGCCAAGCCAGAGTGATATTTTCCAGTAGACTCACGTAGCCCTGGGCAGAGGCAATTCTCAGGCTTCCGAGGATGGAGTTGTTTGGGTATTGGGTTTCCTCCCAGTGCCATTCAGGCTGCCACTGAAGTACCTGAGCTATCATCAGGGAAACAGAAAGTTGCTTGGGAAGATGTTTCTGGAGCAAAAAATAGCCCCAGGGTGGAAATGTGTAGGAAGAAATGTATTTTAATCTGCATGTGACTCGACTTTGGGCTATACTCTGCAGTGTGGCTACCTTGCCAGGAGCCCTGCAGACCAGCTGGGGAGAAAGGGTGATGGGTCAGGTAGGAAAATCTTGCCAGATTCTTATAGTCTTGGCTGGAAATGAGCCATTCAAAAAAGGAAGACATGCTAGATTTAATATTGTTGGTGATGTGCTTGGTCTTTGCCCACCTTGAGTACGTAATTGACATAAAAGCCTGGCTTGATCTCACCACAGAACAGAGGTTGGTTTTAGGATTTAATGCTTAAATATAGCACTTATTTTTCTTTGGATTTTGTGTAGGCACCAAAGCCCTTCTCAAATTGTTTTCTTCAGTCTTATTGTATTCAATTTTCACATCATTAAGTATTTTAAAAGCTGCATTTGGGTTCAGAATATGAGGTTTGGTTTTCAGCATAGTATATGATCTCAAGATTTCTGTTTAAAGTCTGCTGAAGATGTCACAAGGAAAGGAAAAGAAATATTGCCAGAGCCTGTTTTAAGTTATGCTTTGCACTCTAATTTCTGCTGCCAGAATTGGGCTGTATTAGATAACTGCACATCCTGCATGAACCATAGCCACAAAGAGACCAGTCTTAATTGAATATAGAGTAGCAAACTGTCACTGTCATCCTTAATTTCCTCTTTATACAGGTCCTAATCAAGGACATCATGCTAAGCCAGATTTTTATTTGGCTTTCTTTCTGCAATCCCTTTAGAAGTTGCTAATACATAGCTAGAGAAAATGCAAGACAAAGAAAGAAACATCCAAGTAGGAAGCATTTGCTTAATGGAAACTCCGTATCAGATAAAGGGAGTTTATACAAAATTATTTAATAGGACGCCCTTGGCACAGACAGGGACAAAGATGTGAAATGCTAGTTGGTGTACAGGAGTGTTTTTAATATAACATTTGCCATCTCCTCCTTAACTTTTTACTTCATTAACTTTCCAACACACATTCTTTGTAATTAAAAAAAAAGGAAAAAGAAAAGTATTGGTAGCTGAAATAACAAGCATAACTTCAGCCTCTAGGTATAATTGTGTTTTCTCCTGAGTTATTTCAATATATTAGCTCAACACTGAGTTATTAATTTGTGTATGACCACAACCTTGCTAGAAGAAGTTTTAGCATGAGGAAGAACTCTTGCATAGAGAAAAAGTTATAGGGCTTAATAGACCTTGGAAACAAATTTTATCTTTTCTTTCTCAAGAACTCTTAGTAGAGCTTTGTACCACATGGTAAATATTCCTTTTTTGACATTCGGTAGATTTAAAAAGCCTCAGTTTTTAAAGGTATAGTTATTATGCAAGTTCTATGCTCTGAAATACTTATCATATTAAAGAAAGCTATTAATCTTAAAATGATAACATGGCTTGACCAGAAAGACACGTTTTTCATATTTGATTTTCTTTGATGGTATGATGTAGATGGAAAAATTTATTCAGGCTATATATTAAAAAAATATGTTATTTAAAATAGACTATTTGGACATCTAATCTGTTTTCTGGTCCCTGAATGTTCCTGAGCTGCTCCTGTTCCTGAGAAGGGGATTTTGGGCAAAGACCTGTTACACAGGTTGCACAAGTGTATCTTCAATATCCTGGAAACTTAATTTTTTTGTTTGTTTGTTCAGGAGCAATTGCTATGGAAGAAAATCTTCTAGTAGATAATGGGTAGCAAGTGTAAGAATTAATTTTCTTACCAAAAAAGGTAGTTGTGGCTGTGTAATGTAATGTACTGAGCCCTACATTAGGTGTTAGTGGGTTTGAGAACAAAGCAATTTTTTCTATTTATTTTTGGTTTTAGTGTTTTGATTTGTTTGTGGTTTCTTTGTTTGGTGGTGTGGTTTTTTTTTCTTTGGTTTGTTTTTAGTTTCATTTGTGTGTGTTTGTGTTTTTCTAGTTTTCTTTTTTGTGTTGGCTTTTTATGTGGTAGTTTTTTGTTTTTTTTTTTGGTGTGTGTTTTTTGGGGGGTTTTGGAGGTTTTTTGGGACTTACAAGAACAAACAACTTTGCATGTGTCAGCTTCAAAAAAGGTTAGAACATTTTCTGTATCAGTGAAGGTTTTTGGTACCTTAACAGGGAACTCCAAAGAGAGGAAACAGTAGTTGGTCGATGGAAAATAACTAAGAACTATGGGTGGTCAGTTTTTTGTCTGCATATCTCTGGTTGATTAAAGAATCAGGATTAGAAACATTAATTTTGGGATTCTTCTACATCTGCAAAATGTGATCGTTAAAAAATACTTTTTTTAAAGATTTGGGTTTATAATAGGGTAGGAATATATATATATAATGCTCACATGGGTATCTCTAGATGTCTTAAGATTCATTCAAGCTAAAATAATATCATCACTTCCCCTTTAATTTCTTTTCCATACGTTATTTGAGAGTCACTTGGGTTTATTTTTCTGCACTCAGACGAATCCACAAACCACACGTGTAACTCACTTTGATCTCCTGGCTATACAAAATAAACAATGTTCTAGCCTGGAGAAAGTAGGGGTAGGTTTTTCCTTGGATGTGACCTTCAGCAGGATTTCAGGCATCATGGAGGAATGTAAAGAAGATAATTGCAGAGAGCCAAAAATGTCTCAAAAGTAGAGGCTTGTGGTTTGGGTTATGACCCAAAGCTAGGTAAGGGACATGTAATATTTAGGTTAAAATTTCTTATAGAACTGTTCCTTATAGAATGTTCCTGGAGAGAACTAAGGTACGACTACTTCCCCTTAGGCACTCCTGGCTGGACCAGATTGTCCCTGACCTGAAGCCAGCTCTTCCTTTCCAGCTCCACCACAGGCATGTTCAAAACTATCTCACATTGGTTAACAGCAAACACTCCTGGTGCCCAACAGGCCCCTGATGAGGAAGTCCCTGGAGTCCTCCAAAATGGAAAGAATCATTTGGCTGTGGCCTCTGTTGTATGGACAAAGTGATCTTGAACTGCCACAGCTTCAGCTTATGTCAGGTCAAGATTGCAGTAACTCTGAGTTACTCTATGTTTTTCCACTTACCATAATATTTCATGTGAAGCTATTTGTGTTCCTGATGAATTTTTCCATTTTGATTTGATGACCTCCATTAGGGTTTTAGGACTGCGTTTGTCTCACCACTGAAAAGCAAACGGCTTTTTGTGAACAATCCAGAGCTGGAAGTGTGAGGCATGTAATTCAGTGCTTATTACCTGTGGGGAATGTTCGTTGTGAACCTAGAAGTTTCTTTTCCTTTCTTTGAAGTTTGAAGTACAATGGTATACAGCTGGCTTATTTTTTTCTTTCTCTGAGTGACCATGCGGGAAGCAATAAATTAGAATAAAAACAACAAAACAAAACTCCACAAACAACCTAAATCTCAGCACTGCAAAGGAGCTGATTTAAATTATGTGAATCATTTGTGAACATGTCTTCCAGACCTTTTAAATTTAATTTATGACTGTGGAAACCAGTTTTCAAATTAAGTCTCTGTACTGTTCCTGGTCCAGTGAGACACCTACTTCAGCCTGGCTGTGCTAAGCTTTGTAGTGTGGCTGTTTTCTGAATGTCAGTCAGTTTCAAATGAGGAATTTCCAGTGTGGTAAACAGAAAGAAATGGAGGGCTTTTAGGAGAATATGGTGTGTGGGTTTCTGAAGAACATGAGACAGACAGCAAACAAAATACCTTGGCAGCGTGGGCAACTTTTCCCAAGATAATTTGCAATGATTTCCTTTGGAAAATAAATTCTTTATAAGTAAAACCAGTAAGTAAAATCATCTCTTTGGAAATTTATGCTGTTGGACTGTAGGATATGCTTTCAGACTGATACCAGGAGTTGGTGTTGAGCAGTTGTTGTTGCTGTTGAGTGGTTTCTGTCCTGGACAGAGGACTCTGTGCCACAGGGCTGTTTCAGGGCTGGGTTTTTTCTCCCACCACTCAACTGGTGCTCAGCTGGGACCACTGGGATAGTTTGGATGTGTCCCATAAAATTTGTAATGCAGCTGCTGACACTCATCTCCAGGTTTCCATGTTAGCTGACCTGTGTCTTGGGATTTGTTTCCTTCAAAGTTGTTTGAGCTTTTTAAGAGTTGTCCCAAGTATGAGGAAGAATACCAGCAGTAATTAAAATAAAAGAGGATATTTCTGTTTTTACCTCCAATATATTGCTGGGTAGCTGCTCTTGAATAAAAAGAAAGCAGAAAAAAAGCAATAGCACTTCATGTTGTTTTGCTTGGTCTTTTCTGCAATAAATGGATCTCTTTTCAATGGTAGAGGCACTTTTTTCCCAGTGGTCCATATCTTTCCTATAGTAGCTTATTTATCTGAATGTAAGAAA